CTAATGATGTAATCTGTTAGCAAATTTGATCCAAAAGTTATTTTTCCATTAATTATCCGTTAATTACAGAGATAAAAATGTACTGTGACGTGTACACCTTCTTCATTGTCTCTCTGCATTTCATCTATTCATATCTCACCAAGATACTGAAGCTGGTTAGAATTATTTGGCTTCGATTATTGTAGTACTTACACAAACCACGATCAACTTTTGACTATTTCCATTTCACTACAGTAAACCTCACAGTGATACTTTCCGATAGGGTATTTCCATCATCATGAATGCGTAAAAACCGCAACTTCACTGAGACTAGGGCTAAAAAAATTATGATCCTGCAGAAAATGGGAAACAAAAAGTAAACAAAATTTCATGTCAGATTCCTTCTAATCCACAACAGTAATCTCAACTAGCTTCTGAAACTAATTGTAGTTAATCAAAAATCCTACCGGCAAAAAGAACAAAACCATCAAAAGGTCTTCCTTTTGCCGCGCAATAACACATTTGAAGAAAAAACGTTTCAGTGGTTATGTTAGGTTGCCGCACATCCCTCGTTCATGTGTGTTTTATTGAATTTCTCCCACAATTCCAAAGTGCAATACTTTTTTTTGGTAAACAGTAAGCAGTCCCATTCTTCTTTTCCGCCATTCCAGTTATCTGCAAAATTTCTTTTGTTTCTTAAAATGCCAAGATTTCCACTTTAGTTACAACTTACGTGTCAATTTTACCATTTGGATGGGATGATGAATTTCTGCGATTTTGCTTTCGTTGAATACTTATTCCAAGCTAGTGGGTTGTTCTTATATATTTAATTGCAGGCTGAAAAGATTGGGTTGGACTATAAGAATGTTGAGGGGCTGAAGACGGTAAACAAGAACAATACGCTGGCAAAGAAATACCATGCCTTTTTTGTTTCAGAAGAACGCAGAGGGATGAGGGAGAAGAAGGTGTACACGTTAAAACATTTTTATCCGATTAGGCCAAAAAAATTTGCTAACGGACTCCACTATCATTTATCTGATTAGGCCAAAAAAATTACCAAACACTCAACTGCTTTATTCTAAAAGCACAACAAAAACAGTTTTTTTTTTTTTTTTTTTTAAAAAAACAGAGCAATACCAAACTAACTCTGAGTTCATGACCTGATTTTTGAGGCATTCGTATTCCGATCCGCTTTACTCTGATCTTGGAAAATCATGTTCCCACATTTATGATGGGATATATACACAATTATATGTGGAAATACTTGAGGTTGTTTATGGAACATGAGAACTTTAGTGTTGTATTATTTTGGGTGATAAATATAAATTGCACCCGAAGACATTAGGGCAAAAAGGCCGTTAAGGGCCACATGATGAGTTACATTTGATGAAGCATATAATGAACACGTAAGGATGAATGAAATCATCTAATATCCTTTATCTACCTTGATGATCTTGACGATTATTAAGAGAGAAAAGAGTGGTGGAGGGTTGAAGAGACAAGGATTGGCCTAGGCCTATCCTAACTTTTTCCCTTCAGCCCTCCTCCAATTATCATACTTCATTCATTTACAGTGCTCTTATTGGTCCACAATGCAACAAATCCAAACCTATTATTTTCTAATTCCAAATTCCAACTTCCAAGTCCGGTTACATCCCACCACTATTATTATATTTATATGACATAAAATTATTAATCTTTGTAATTACGATGTTTTAGTTAGTAACTTCGTAATTATTATCCGCCATTTTTTTTTTTTACATTTGTAAAAGGCCTCTTCTCACAAAAATAACTTAGCTCTGCCATTGTGCGTTACAGTATCATATGCGTTCATGCTTTATGTCTGATTCTTTGATTACTTAACGAATATATTGTGATAATTATTATCTTATTTTTAAACATATTTTATTATATTTTATTATTATCTAAAATAAATTAAACTATAAACTTTGGTCTAAGATTCAAAGGGGAGTGGTTGAGGAGAGTGAGGACAAGACTTCCAATGTTTGGGTTCTGCCGGTGACCAAAGGAACATAGCCACGCGGCTGCGACAGTATGGAAGATTTTTTTTATTTTTTTTAGTAGAACGATATATTAAGGGAATGGAGAGTTCGACTAAACCACACAATGAGCAACCTAATTTAATATCGAATATCGAATTCGTCTTCTACAAATTCAAACTTAAAACCTTTTACTTTAAGTGAAAATAAATACAATCAAACTATAATACTGAGTAGGATGACATTATGGAAGTTAAAGGAAAGGGAAGAGATAAATAAATGAAAGAACTAAGACTAAAAGCCATTGACCAAAGGACATATCCACGCGGCTGCGACAATATAGAAATTAAATGAAATTTATAATGTCATCGTGCTTAGGTCTTATAAAAATAATATTTTTCTTGAATTAAATATCCCATCATCAAATTAGCTATAGAATATGTTGTTTTCATGTTGTTGAAGTGTCAAGTCAGTTTACTTCACAATGTTGGGAGAAGGAAAGGTCATTGCATCTCAAACTCCTCAATGCTTAGATTAATTCATGGCTTGTTTTTAACTACGCTTTTCAGATATCAATTTTAATTTTATTTTGCTCCATGTTACTTAAAAGCCATTAGTTTGTTCTTTGAAACTCAAATTCATTTAACTTTATCACCTGAAACTTGATTTTGATCTCATTTACTTTGTGAAACTCAAAAGTTATTATTTTACTTTAAAAAACTCAAAATTCACTCAACATTTGTCTGAATTCTTTTAATTCCACTAAGTGGTTTTGATTTGGTCTACCAGATTCATCATTTTTTTTCCATCTCTACAACTCAAGCACAGCAACCCAAAAAAAATCCACTTCATAGTTCCTTCTTGTAAACTTTATATTTTCTTATTATTAAATGTTAACGCATATAATGATGAAGCCAAGAGGGACTAAAGTTCAAAGGTTAAAAAGTTCCAAAAATTTTTAAACTACCAAATCATTTTAGATAGTAGACAATATTAATATCATTTATTGTTTATTAATATAAACAAGTTACAATTGTGCCGGCTAAGTTTCATATAATGAAAATATCGCATAATAAACTCACTATCAATAAAAGCAATTGTTGCCGAAATGTTCGAAAAAATAAAATTCAATTAAACAAAATTTCACCATTTTTTATAGTATTGGTTAATTTTTTTTTTTTTATAATTATCAATTAAACAAAATTTTTCGGCACCGCTTCTTATGGTATCATTTAACAAAATTTTATATTAGTTATACAGAAATATCAATTTCACTTAATTTTACAAAATTACGGAAATGTCGATTCTTACGGAAAGAAAATGGTTTAAAGATATATCGATGAAAATTTCAATAGTGGTTATTTCGAGAAGAATGTTTTTTATATGGAATAAGATACTTTGTGTAAAAATTAGATAATATGTACATACTAAAAAACATATCATTACACTAAAAAGCATATAATATTTCATCTTTTCAAATATAAAACTAAAAAAAAAAAATTTAAAAATGGTATTCATCTATTAGAGCAACTCCACCGCTGGAGTTTGCTCGGGGGACATGCAAGGAAAAATGGCCCTAGAGGCCGGGCTGTGGACTCCAGCGTGGGGGAGCCCGAGGGACTGTGGAGGCCCGAGCAGCGGGCCTGTGAGGAATTGCCAGTCCGAGAGCCCGAGTGGATCTGACGTAGGGCTGACGTCAGTCATAATATAAAATTAATAAAAATATAAAATATTAATAAAAAAAAAGTAAAATAAAAAAAATTTAATTCGAACTCAACGGCTCTCATAGGAGTTCGTCGCCGATGTGATGAACACCCACAGACAAATGGCAGAGATGGGTGGTTGAGGTGTGGGAGCTGCTGAGCTTGAAAAATGGCACAGAAAAATGGCAGATATGGGTCGCCTGAGATCGGGACCGTTGATGGAGGCTGAGGTGGGTGGGATGGTGAAGATGGAGGAAGAGAGGCGGCGGTGGGGTGGTGAAGATGGAGGAAGAGAGGCGAGGAGGGATTGGTGCGTTGGGGGAGGGGAGACGGGTTGAAAACTGGGTGTGGGGGGGGGGTGCGTTACTGAGCTTGAAGAAAAAATGGTGCATTTGCACCATGTGAAAAGAAGAAAAAATAATAAATAAAAAAAAAGGTTTTGGAATGGTGTGCTGCACCATGTGAAAAGAAATAATAAAAATAATTTTTTTAATAGAAAATGGTACAACGAGACCGATTAAAAATCATATCCGAAATTACAAATAAAATTATTTTGTATTATTTAGAAAAAAAACTAATATTTTATTGCCTATTATCAGGGCTATTGAAGTGCAACGGTGGAGATGCAAAAGTGTATTGCCTGAGGGATTACTGTTCATTAAGGCAGTTACTGTTCACTGGGTGGATAACATAGTGTATTGCCTGGGGGAAGGGCTCCAATGGTGGAGTTGCTCTTAGAAAATATAGTATAGCATTCAAATCGGCAAGACAGAAGATAATGTTCCATTGGATGAAATTTGAAAGTAGAACTTTTGGACAATAAGTCCATTAGAGCATCTCCAAATGAGAGTGTCAAAATATTCACATAAGTTATAACAGTAAAAAAAAACCACACTAATGTTCTTCAACCGAATTATAAATTCTTATGTGGCGATGATATAGATTGATAGTAAAGAGATTTACGGTCAAATTTGACGGTAGCTTCAAAATTAATTATTAATTTTTTATTTGTTTAATCATTATTGTAATTAACTAGCAAAACTGCCCGCGCGTTGCTGCGGGACTTGAATGCACAAATGTTAACTACACGAACTAATAAAAAGAATAGATGAGTGAAAGATAAAAAGATAAGGTTGTTTTTGTTTTTGCAGTTATTCTTCCAAGCATAAATGTTGAAAGCAACAAAGATGCAATATGCTTGTTTTCATTAGTTACAGAAAGAGGACACACATATTTTGCCCCTATAGTTATAATGACAAAATAGATGACCTGCAGTCTAAGCATCTGTTTAAGTAGTTACAAAAAAGAAAGCCAAATGTTCAAAGGAATAAAGATGCAGGATGCAGTTTTCCATTAGTTACAAAAGGAAGATGCAGTCCACACATATTTTGTCCCTATAGTTAAGGTGACAAAATACATGCCCTGCAGCCTAGAAACCTGTTTAAGCAGTTACAAAAAGCTCAAAAAAATGTTTTGACTAAGTTTTCAGCTACACATGTTTTAAAGGCAAAAAACTGCAGAGTAACTTTGTAGCAATTCATCACGGAGAATGTAGTCATTCACTTTTTTGGTGGGCGAACATCTTGAGCACTATAATAAAAAACATGAATCATAGTTTAGTAAACATTGGTATAACAGATGTTATGTAGGTGTGCATGCAAAAAAATAAATTGTAATTTACCTATCCTTGGTTTTTTTGGTTTGAGACTTTGTTTTGAGCGCAGCTATCGGTTCTTTATCGGCGGGCTCAATCTTAGGGACAACCAGTTTGTGGAATTCTCTGGCAATTCTAGCAGAATTGGTTACCTCTATTTGCTCGGTGCGAGTTTTTTTGCTGTGAATGAAGGTAGAATTTATAAGGTCTGAGAGAATTGTGATAGGTATGAAAAAAAGGAGTCAAAAGACTGGAGCAAAAATATTGGCTAACAATTTTTATATCAACAGCATAATACATATGTTCACCCAAGATAAGCAAGTATATTTATTAAAACTTACACATAAGATGATAACTGAGAGGAAAACTTAACCTGTCTGGTTTGTCTGCTTGATCAATGAACAATGGTCTCTTTGAAGTTTTGAGAGGTACAACCGATTGGGGATGGTGATCTGGCCGCTGGGAAGGTGTCACTGGGGCAGGAGTCGCTTCAGTTATAATTTGTTTTCCTGCAGTGGCAGTAGGCGTTTGTGGGTCGATTGAGGCAATTGCTGTGTTCAAGGGCAGCTGATCTTGAAGCAATCCATAAATGATGAAGTCTGTCTTCCTAAAATCACTGTTTTGATTGCCAAAAGATAGCAAAAATCTTTTTGTCTCGCCCACCAATTTTTTTAGAGGTGGTGGCACCATGAAGGGATCGTCATATCCGTCTTCTATTACCAAAGTGTGGCAAGAAACATGAAGTATCTTTTCAGCGTTCCTTCCTAACATGAGGAAATTGTGCTGATTTGTGCTATCTTCCACTATAAGATTGATTTTGAACCTAAGGAAGAGTTATATATTTTCAGGTTAGGCATTTATCACTACCATTAACATTCTGAAAGTATAGATTGCCAAAAGCATCAAGTCAACAAATTTAACCAGATACCACATAATGGGTGTAAGAATGCTAATGATCACAAAATCCAAAACGAAAAAAAAAAAACCAATATAACTAAACTATTTTTAAGTAAAATAGCACAGGAACCATATGATAGCCACAAAAACATCATCAATCATAAATTTTATAATTGCAAGAAATTTAAAAATGACTAAGCAGCTTAATACAACAGTTAGATGTAAAATAGGTGTAAAAGAAATTACCATGGTTCAGGTAACCTGTTTAATGAACCATGTTCATTGCACTGAAATGCTCCGGAAGTTTTTTTGACAGCTTTATGGCAGAATGGGCACGACTTGTACCACCAACCTCTACTCAAATCAAATCCAATGACAGTCGCTTTGCATTCAAAACTTACATTCTGTTATGGAATCACACAATTTTAAAATAATGAAATACATTTAATCATCGTCTTGTAAACATGAAATATAAATGAATATAGAAGAAAGCAAGATATAGCTAAGTATGAAGCAGTTATAAAATTTATTATTAAAAAGATGTGATTTTTCTTAATAAGTAGGTGATAAGAGACTAACTTTGTGCAAAGCAGGATCAAGTAGAAGGAGCTCATCAATTGTTTTGGACTCAAAATTAGGACTAACAGCACGGTCTGCATACATTTCCGCTGAGGTGCGTAAGGTTTGAACAGGTGATTTCAGATCCTTAAACCTTTGTCATGAATGTTTAGGTTGAGAAAGACAAATTGAAGAAATATAAACAGCAAAGTTATTAAAGGAAGGTTGTCGATTTACTTTTGTTTGTATTGGGTGAGCTGTGGAATCTCTGGATTGAAAATACAAACAGTTGATCCAGTGCTTCCAAGAACAGGGTTTCCTATATATAAAACATAAGAATGAGCAATAGATGGTTTAAGCAGCTAAATAAAGGACGTTGAGGTACAACCTCGGTATTCTTTGACTTTGAGGCTTGTTACAGCAAGGAAGATAGGTGGTGGAAGGGATTTTATTCCACTGTCCTCAAAAGTTGTTGCAGCTTCTCCCCATAAGGTGATCCTAATCGTTTCGCCCCTGTAAGTTTAAAAATATGTGATGTTTTATGTCATTAATATGACGTTTTATGTGCGTAATTTTAACTTAACGCATAGGAATGACCTGATGTCTTGCAAGTTAAGATTCCTCTTCTTCGCAATTCTTGAGCTTTGGACAGTCACGTCTTCAATCGGCTGCACAGCCGTTAAATGACCAAACACATCTGCAAACAATATTTAGCTGTTAAATAACCAAACACATCTATGAATAATATTTAGCGGTGAAAATTATTGCGCACCAAAGGCAATGAATAAATTATAATGATGATTTTAGATGTTAGTGCAACACGCAAAACCAAATTTGTTACCTGTAAGTTCAACATCGTTGTTGATTCTCTTATGAAGTTGATCAAGGTCAATCAAATTGAACCATTGCTTTGGGATCTCCTGATTTGTTTTGTGAATTGGAACGAATGTGGTTCTCCTATTTAATTCAAGCGCCGCAGGATGAGGGACAACTTTGCTCGATGTCCTGTTGTGAACAACACGAAATTTAGTGATCTCGTATGCATCGCCGACTGTCAGAAGGTCCAAAAAAAATTGAATGTCTCGAGCATTCACAGTCGCGTGAACTGCATCCCCCTGTTAGAAGGAGAAAATTAAAATAATATAGATTATTAAATGTGCGGGAGAACATTTAATACATGCGGTTTAAGAAGCTAAAAAACAGTGAGGATAGAACAATTCTGTTCACAGAGGCGGCATTTAAGATAATACACCATAATAGTAAAGATTACTTTATGAATTGAAATGATAGCAAGTGAAGCAAACTTATAAATAAAGTTTGAATTATATTTTTGTGAGTAAAAAAAAGAAACAAAACAAATTAAGAAAAAGAAGAATTGATTGTCTCTACTTAGTTTTGTTTACACATGCAAAAAAAATTGTTTCAGCAGAATTACATATAATCTTTGTAGTGAAATGCAAGGAGAGGAAAAGTGTCAACAACAGAGTCTAAAATTTGGTTTTCTAAGAACAAAATTTATTGCATCACATGGCATTATATGGAGAAGATGGAATTTTGATTTCTTTTGGATTTGCATGAATGTAGTGGCTCAGTTTAAAAATTGATATCAAGGCCCATGATTGAATCCAATAGAACAATTAACCACACAAACATTAATCATGTGGAAGTGATGTATAATTCGGCAATGAATTGCATAGAGCAATCAGTTCCCAAACTTTAGAGAATGTTTGACCACAAAATTTGTTGTACCAAGAACACAGCATGCACACTTGGATACATAAAAAACATAAGCATCTTACGATAACGAAAAAGAGGAAATATTCTCACCTGTTTATCAACAAACACACAATCAAGACTTTGTGGCTGAGGGTCATCTTCGATGGTTTTTGTGATCCACATCCTGCAAACCCTGATTTGGAGCTTGTTTGCTGGCTGGTATGGTATTAGAGAATGAAGCGACATCATCTCGATCAATCTAGATAGAAAAAAATGGAGAAGCAAATTAAATTGAAAAGTTAATGAGCTAATTTATCAAAGTAACGGCAGAGTCATGTTTAGAAAAATAAACAAAATGACAAAATAACAATGCAAACTTATAGCTTCATGTAAATGTTTTAAAACATTTTTATGAACTATGTTTTTTGTATAACCATAAGGTATGTCGGAATCATGAGTAATATATGGGGAAGATAAAAATTTTCAACTTTTCTTTAGTTAATCCGTCCCTTTTTTTTTTAACTATAAATGGTTTTCAATTTTACGTATACTCTTACATATGCTGCAGTCCTTGAAAGGTGGCTTCTTGCTTGTTTAATACTAAAAAACAAAATTATACAAAAACACATTGAATCTAAACCTTGACTGTGTCTTCAATGGACATCTAACTACGAAATTGAGCTAAGAGGATGAAAAAAATGGCGATCTTATTCTTACCCATGAAAGTTCTCCCAGTACTTTTGTTACCTATCAATTCAGTTATGTTCACAACTCTAAGTTCAGTTGCGACAGTATCGCTGCTCCCCCAGTCATAAAAATAAACTTATAAACAATATTAAGCAGCACTATTTAAGAATCTAAAAACATCCCAAACTAACTACACAGATAGGACAGACACTGAAACATGTAGACATGCAACACAAAATCTGTAATTAGATACCAATCAGAAAATGGCAAAACAAAAAAAAATTCCTAATCTAACTATCCCTATACTAACAGCCCATCCAAGCAAATACAATTATAATGGGGTTTTAGAACAAATAAACCAATCATCCAATTCGAATGGTGTTTCGAACAAATACAACAACCATTCAATTGGAACGGGTTTGGTACAAATACATGCTCAATTATCTCAAGCTTTCATAAATAGAGACATACAGATACATGCACAAAATAGAAAGAAGCCTAGTTCCATTCTAAGCTCAAACGACCAAATGGATGCTTAGTTATTTCAATCTTGACATAAACGGACAGATACAGATACGCAGACTAAATAGGAAGAAACTTAGTTCCAAAATAAGCTCAAACGACAAAAATTGAATTATATATTTAAATTCCAAACATGAAAGCTTCACAAATATAAATAAAAAAAAGGTAGATAGCTTATTAGGTTTTGAATAAAAGCGATTGCGTATAATTATATACCTCAAAACGGCATAGAACCAGCTTCTTCTTGCAACGATCCAAATTTCTGAAATCTGCAAACAAAGTAAATCCGTTAACAACTCAGAGAGTTTCAAATTTAAAGACCAAATGTAATGAAATTTTAGCTAAATGACCAAAAGACACACCAAAAAAAAAAATAACAATTTACAAACATTTTTTTACCAACAGAACTAATTTGGTTCAATAAAGAATACGAAAGGTTAAGGCCTAAGTCAAATGTTGAGTAAACTGCAAGAGGCCTCGGCCAAGGCCATAATGAACTGGAAATTGACAGGAAGATTAACTTTTATTATGTTTCTTTCCTCATGTAAAGGAAACAGGATGACTAAGTCAAGCTCTTTATCTTCTTCCACTACCCTTAATGTGGTCAAATAAGCAGGACAATAGTAGCAAATGGATATGAGTTTACATGGCAAGTATGTCAGCAATTTTTATTCACATTAGTATAAGTCTTACAGAGCTATAATAATGCAGTCATGAGCTTCGAATCATTGGCATTTGAATTATAAGGATTCATAATTTCACTTTTAAGATAATATTAACTGTTTACAAAATTAGAAGCAACTGATGGCATAGCATACCGCTTCAAGTATGCTAAAGTTAGACATAATCTCGGCAAAGAAATATTGCTTAGTAGAAATAAACAGAGTAGATAATTTGTTTGTGCTGAATTTGCAAGTGCTATTAAACTATCAATGATCAGAAGAGAGCAAATGGTGAAAAAGAAACTGAAGAACAAAAAAACAATGATGGATTTGAACACATAGAGAAGAAACTTGTTCCAAAATTATACTACCTAGCAACAGAGGAGCAAAACAATAAATAAAACAGTCTTCAAACATTCTTATCGCACAAATACAGAAGCAACAAAACATGGAGAAACAACCTAGCAAGAGAGGGATATTCAAAGAAACAACCTAGCAAGAGAGGGAGATTCAAAGGATGTAAAGCAGAAAAGGAACCTCAATTCGACTTGCTGAGAAGGAAACAGCAGCAAAGCATGAAGAAAACAGAAATGCGAACAGTGCGACACCCTAAGTTTAAAAGACACGAACCTGACTGTAACAATGTACCAAACAGTGCACTAAACAGATCTATCTTGCTAATACCCAACTAAGCAGGTTATAAACATCCATTACAATTTTATTGAAACAAAAAAAATGTCAATCACAGTTTTAACAAAGGTAATGGGAAACAAACAACAAACAATGATTTCTCAACAGTATTTTACCTGTTGAATCAGAGGACAAAACTGAAAACCCTCTCCTCTCCCATACCTCTCTCAGACATCCTCTGTTCACCAACCCCGTGGGGTAACTCGTTAACCTCAAAAAACGCATGTTGCTCTCTGCTCTCTCTCTTTCTCCTTCCCCACTCATGAAATCGAGGATCTGCAGCAATGACACTGAGATCCCCAGTCCTCCCTCTCCCTCTCTCTCTCGCTGTGTCTCTCTCTCTCTTTCTATCGGAGGCATGGCCTCCCATCCCCGAAAAGCTCAGTGAATGACAGCAAACGTAAACCCACCGCAATCTGTCACAAACAAACAGGATAAAATTACCCTTCTAACCCAGCCCCAATATGAGGCAAAACCTTACAGCTTTGTTGTAAATAGTGTGAAATCGAGTGGCTCCTTGCTAAACAATATGGACAAATTTACTCTCTGAACTTTTGAGAATTAGCAACCTAACCCAGTCGATTGAAAGGTGTAGCAGCATGTAGTTGAGCCGAAATAGGAGAAAAGAAAGGAGCCGGTTTTAAAAAAAAATCAATCTTCAATGTTAAAGAGGTCAACATCAGATCTGGTATTGTCCTTCTTCTGGTTTTTGTGGATGACATTGCTTTCTCTAGTATTGTTTGTTTTATTTGTATTTTTTTTAGTTATATTTAATTTATGTTTATATTGGGAGGTATCTTTAAGGTTTAATAGAATAGATGAGTGGATAAGGTTTTTCAACTTTTAAATTGTTTTGTTATCACAAAGTGCTAAACTAATCTTATTAAATTAAGGAGTCGGCAAACCACTTACAAAATAATGGACTCAAGGAATAAAAAACAAAAAACTGGTCCATTTCCCACTTTCCTAACCCATCTAACCCCTAGCTGCAGTAAAATAAAAATTTATTTGCTTGTGCTTTTCTTGCAGCTGCTAAGTTATCAAAAGTGTAAAGGAAGCGCTTCGAAAATTTAATACAACGGAAAAAATTTAGTTGTTGCAATTTAACACCGTCAGATTCCAGGGAAATCATATTATTTTAATAACTCTCAATTTTAACACCGTCGTGTGTATTTTGCAAAACTAATTCTGCGTAAAAATAATATTTTGAGGATTTATAAGAATGTGGGATTGAAAGAAGAGTGCAGTGTCTTGAAATAAAAGTAACTGTAAAGGAAATTAACAGTTTGTATCATTGAATTGAACTAAAAACATAGTAATGCCATTAAATCTCTACTTTTAGAATTACATCATTGTATATATGGCTTGCTGTAAATAGTAGAATTCAACTAAATACTTTCAATAAGAACAATTGAAGGCATCTAAATGGTAATATTGTTAATTACCAGCCAATTTCTATTAACTAAAAACAGTACGCATATCAACATTAAATAAAAAGCAATTTTTTTGGAAGCTAATCTTTCAAGTATAAATGTTCAAAGTAACAAAGATGCAGTATGCTTGTTTCCATAAGTTATAAAAGAAAGTTGGTAGTTCACACATATTTTTCCCTTGTAGTTATAGTGACAAAATACAGGCCTTGCAGTCTTAGGCACCTGTTTTAAGTACTTACAAAAAAGAAAGCCAAATGTTCAAAGGAATAAAGATGTAGGATGCCTGTTTTTGTTAGTTACAAAAGGAAGATGTAGTTGACACATATTTTCCCCTATAGTTAAGGTGACAAAATACATACTCTAGAATCTAGGCACTTGTTTAAGCAGTTACAAAAAAAACTCAAAAAAAAGGTTCTGTTGTTGCTTCAACAACTAAGTTTTCAGCTGTACATGTTTTAAAGGCAAAAAACGGCAGAGCAACTTTGTGGCAATTTATAATGGAGACTCTAGTCAGTCATTTTTTCGGTGGACGAACATGTTTAGCCCTATAATAAAAAACATGAATCATAGTTTAGTAAACATTGGTATAACAGATGTCACAAACCATAAAATACATATCAAACATCACAGAAATTAGAGAATGCTAAAAAAATTGAGGTCTAATTCACTTTTTCACAGAGAAGAAAATCTAAATAAGGCTGTCCTCTTGATTAAGCTCTGAACAAAAAAAGGTGTATGATTATATACCTTCAAATGCCAAAGAACCAAGTTTTTACTCCAACGATCCAAAATCCTGAAACATAGTAAATCCATTATCAATTCTCAAACATGCTAAACTCAAAGAGAAGGTAAATAACCGTAATCCAATAATCTAAGAACGTGTCAATTTAACAACCATAATCCAGTAATCTGGAAGAACCAGTATCCTTCCCCAACCCCAACACTCACATCATTTTAACATCACAACAAAGCAAAAACACTTACCCTTCAAGGTTCCGAGCCTCACAAAAATGTATGAAGTTCACGCATACATTTTTAGGTCTCAATGCACCTATCCTGCAAAGCAACGAAAATGAAAATGCATTAATACAACTGCCAATATCGATTTTAGTGTTCTGTTTACCGTTGCAACTGAAATCCAAAAATTCTAGAAAAAAGAGGAAGAAGCTTAAGCAGAAAAAAAAAATCATATTTTCAACAACCAAAAACCGAATGCCCATTTAATCATGCACGAACGAAAAATCTAAACATAGTGACAAATTAACGAACTAAAAACCTACAAAAAAAAAAACCAAAAAAAAAAAAAAAAAGGAAACTGACCTGAAAACAAAAAGAATAATACACCCTGATGGTGCGCACCTAAAGAAAGAAAGACACAGATCATGAAGAGAGAGAGAGAGAGAGAGAGAGAGAAGAGAAAGATGATATGTCTCCATATGGTATTCTGGAGCCGAAAGAAAAGCTGCAGACGAAAATAACCTGGAAGGAATCAATTAAAGATAACCATTTAACAACAGAAATTAACAAATCAATTTAAGATTACTAACCCAGGTAGGTCAGCTGCTGTGAAGTTAAAGAGGATCAAGAAGCTCATATGAATGAAAGGATTTTGCTTGCTGCACACATAGATCTGTAAACTCGAGCAAACCCAATGTCAATCAGACCATAGGTCGAAAATCTGAACAAACAAAAAACTGAGCACAAATTAAAAAATCAGAAGTTAGAGAGAAATTTGTGACCCTAATTTATGAAACTGCAGAGATCTGAGATGGAGAGAGAGGGGAACATATTCCAAACGATCCCATATTTTGGAACCGCTTTAAACCAAGCTACCATGAAATTATAGCCAGTTGACAAATCTTCAAATCAGATCGGAACTGTCAGCAAGGGGATGAATTTGCAAATCTGTGAAATCCCGCCCTTTCTCGCTCTGTCTCTCTCTCTGTGTCTCTCTCTATCTCTATCTCAGAGGCAGCATGGCCTCATGCCTGCCCTAAAATCTCCTCACCATCAATCCTAATTTTTGGCAGACCTCCCTCTCCCTTCCTGTCCCTGACATTCCACGTCCTCATCGCCTTCTCTGTCTGTAACTAATCCAGCACCATTGCACAAACCCAGCCCAAGCCTTACCCCCACTCTAGCCCGTTCACTTTCTTGAAACCAACTCTTAAACCCTAGAACTCTGTCTGCTTGCGAGCCGCATGCCTTACTCTCACCAAATCCATTTCTCTGTCTCTCCCTCCCTCCCTCCCTCCCTGAATGACATAGTTTGAGTTACTTTTACTGTATTTGACCCTTTTTTTTTAAAATCACATAATAAACATTTTTCATCATCGTCACAATCATTTTGGGGAACCAAATCTTAAGAAATATAAGAATCACTCCATTTAGTTTACTTGTTCATAAGGGAAAATCTTATATAAAATAACTCGAAATGTATTCAAGGTAGAGCAGCTAAGGATTTAGAAGTTTAGCAATATCTAATTTAAGCATTAGTCTATACTGTATGAACAGAATATATAACACTACCAAATAAAGGAGTTGAAGTGGAGAATCAAACACATACAGACCAATTAACAGAATAAGAATCATTTACCCTTCTCTACACCATGTAAGGTGATTATGGGTTGCCAAAGAGCGGAAAATGTGATTCAGTGCTAAACAAATACACTATACTCCCAGCCATCCAAATCATGAAACCATCATCACCAAATTCTTGAATGGGACCTGTACAATTTCCCAAGCTTTCTGCTCAACAAAAAGAAACCATGAGATGATGAGATTACATAAATCCAAACCACTAAGAAATCAGGTTATACTGTATTTTAAAAATTATTTGCAGAGTCGAACTCAGAAATCAGGTTATGCAAAAGTCTAAAAATTAGCAATTAATTTCATTGATCCATATTACAAAATGTATTGGCATATGAAGTGGGATCCCAAAATATAGTTTGAGAACTATATTTGGAATCCTGAGATCATGCACCAACAGAGTCATAGATTACCAAATGCTTTAATCGAAACACAAAAATAACTACCAAACATCAAAATTCCAAAAACCTAAAACACAAAGCAAACAATTAGAGTAAAATTAATATTTAGCAAAATTAAATGAACAAACAATGTATACAAATTCTTTTTCCTAGTTCTTGCACATTCTAAATTTGTGGGAACCATATACAATCTTTTTTTTTTTTACAAAATTTATTAAGCGTTTAATTAGCATAACAATATTCAGAATTATATAGTGGTTCTCTATGGTGCAATTATAAATAAAAGTGGAAATGTAACGTTGCAATTCAAGTCTATGCACCTGGTTGAATTTAACATGTTTACATATTAATCGTCAGCAATGTAACCATTAACTTTCAAAAACTTTGCCCAAAATCCAATCTTGGGCATGCATTAAACCCAATATAAAACTTGAATTTGTTTATTTGCGCTAAATGTTAATGGGGAAGCAAGATGATGACTTTATTGTTGAAAACCAAAAAAAAATAAGAGAGAGAAAACAAAATAACAGATCTAACGGTTGTAGTGTGTAAAAGCTGAGAATGTAAATAAAGACGCAGGGAAAAAAATTGAAGATTCAAAGTAGGGGCATCCGAAAACACTTACTCCAATTAGACACAAAAAGTGATGGTGATGAGAAGAGAGAGAAAAGGCAGTCGCTTTGACTTTTCTGGTTTTTAAAGGAAGTAGCTTTCTTTGACCAGCAAAAAAAGGAAGCTTCTTTTCACGTGGCTGTGATTTCCTGAGTGTTTGTGACTGGGTATATGGTACTTCCAATTTTTGTGTCAATTATGGTAACCGAGCGAGCTGGACATGGCGGCATGGGATTGAATCCGAAAAGGTGTGAGAAAAATTAAAAACACAAAGAGGTGTTCATTTTGTCACATTCTGATTACTAAAAATTCAATAAAGCACATTCATTAGTATGGTAGCTTAACTATTTAATTCCATCCCATTAAACTAAAAAAAAACAATTATAAAAAATAAGGGAAAACTATTTGGAAACCTTGTCTAGAGAGAGCTGAGAGAAAGTGACGACTTTTCCTCTCATTCCACTCCCTACTTGATCTCTAAAGTTCATTTAGCATGTAATTGATGTTAAATTGCAAATTGAGTGGTAGCAATTAGCAAAGCTAACGGAAGAATCAAAATGAAAGAAAAAGTATGATCAAAGAAATCAAGATGAAGAATGAAATTTTGTGAACTCACCATTTTTTTTTTCTTTTATATAAAAGATACATCCTATTTGTAGTGAAAACAGGTCCCAGCAACCCCACGGCAACCCCAGTTATGCTGAAGAAGTCTTTTCCCTGACTTTAAAAACATAATTCGTGAAATTATATCTATTAGTTGAGAACAACAACAAATCTTCATGCATAGCTTGTAGAGAAAGACATCAGGCATACAAAAGAACATGCAAGCATAAAATAAAAGAAGCAGGGAAAACCAAAAATACAATTGAATAGAGTGTCAAAAGAAGATGAATAAATGAAAATTACAAAACAGACAAATGATGAGAAAGCAAAGTACTCATTTCATAATCTGATTACTTTTTTGATTGGTTGCGATTTTTAGTTCTTCAATTTAGAGAGAAACCATAATTCAGCACATTAATAAAGTGAAAACATAAGAGATACATGGGATAAGCTGACAGCCAGCTATCCATGCATAATGGATCCACTTCTGAACCCCAAACACAACCAAACAAAAATTCACACACATGAACTATTGCTCCCCTATGTAATAAGAATTAAAAGCATCTCAAAACAAAATGACAAACTATAAGAGCACTGCAAAAGTAAAATTGCAAGAAATCTAATAATTGGAGGGCAAGTACCAATTAGACGAAAATGAACGATTGAACCACCTTGCGTGGAACTGTGCCTTGGTTTTGTCCCATGCTTACAGGAAGCTTTGCACTGAGCTCTTATAGCCCAAATTTTTTCTGAAGGGAAAAAAAACACAATTTTGAAATAAGATTTTCATATTATATCTTAAAGAGAAGAATTAGAAAATGAATAAGAGAACAATGAGTAGTTTTCATCATATATTGTTAAAGTATGTGGTCTTCTGGTCCAATGGTGCTGCAGCCATATTTACTTTATAACTCTTTCTTTTAGTCTAAAAAACATCTTGGATCTCAAATTAATATGAACACGGATTCATACTTTATAACTAAAGATTTTACTGCTCCTGATAAGATGAACAAAACGCCATTTATTGCATGCATTGCATTACAATCACAATGGAACATCTTATTAGACATCCCCATATAAAAAGTTTATATTGTTACTTTCATATTTGCTTATCCTTTTTATGAAACATGAGGGAGGTATTTTTTTTTTGTTTTTTTTTATTCCAATAATGTTATAGGGTTGCAAGGATATTATCAATTTAATTGATTGTATTTGTTTGGTGGAACTTTTACACCTATATTTCAAGTTTTCAATTTTAACAGTGGGAGAGTCATTCATAAAATATTTGACGGTGAGATTACCTCCATGGATTATGGTCACAATGGACAGCTCATTTTCCGCGGTGATGGGACAATATTTTTCAGTCATTTACCATTGAAGAAGAGGATCTGCCATGTCAGGATCACTGTCGTCCAATTAATACAAAAAATCGAGATAAAAACGATCAATTTACATAACAGGCTTTCATTTTGTCAACAACAAAGCAAAAGAAAATAATACCTATCTGTTAAACAGTCGATTTGGGAGTAAATGTTGCTGAAACTGGGCTTTAATCCTGTCAACCGCAACAACCGAATTGAGGTGTGCAACTCATTGAAAAATCCACGCAAGATTTGGAAGCTGTATAAAGAAATAAATGAGCACATAAATTAGCCAACTCAGAAATCAAAGAAATCAAAATCCACCCAGAATCAAAGAAATCAAAACCCATCCAGAACCAAAGAAATCAAAATCACACACAGATATGAAAGACAACTCAAATTTGAAGCCTCACTTTTCGGGTAGCTTGGCGGCTGACATGAGTCTTCTTCATAGTTTCATCCATCCATGGATCCATTTGGTATGCCCGTCACTTCCAGGTCGTACAATCTTAATATCTGCAAAAAGAATTTAAAGAATAAATTTTTAGAATTGAAAAGCCAAAAGTGCTACAAACTCCATATTACTGAGAACCAAAGTGGAGTAACACTTACAGGTCGCGAGAGGAGATGAGGACATTGTCGGATTTCAGGGCGAACAGGATTATGGAAATTGCATTTCATATCGGGCTTTCGAACTTCAAAGGAGCTTTGTTCATGGTGGACCCAATCAACTCTCTTTCTGTCCCCCTAATCGTGCACCTGCCCTCACCTCTCTCTGCACCCAATCCCCTCCCCTATCTCCCGCAAATCACGCCCCCACAACATCCCATCAGTGAAGAACCAAATCCAAAAATAAATTGCAGTTACCTATTATGCTAGGATTTAAATAAAAGTTTGCAAATAGAAAGACAAAGGATATAATACAACAGATAGCTCACCAAAAAGCTGCAGTGCTTTCACAATGGTGATACATTTCTGCTTATTACACTTGGCTTTTTCAATTGTAATTTCTTGCTTTTCCTGCAAAAAAAAAAACCACAATAGAACAGATTTCAATAAGCACTCATACCTATTTCATCTCTGAAACTAAAACTTTCAGTTATTTATCTATATATAAATATTGATTACAATCACATTTTGATCACCAACCTGCAAACCCTGATTTGGAGCTTGTTTGCTGGCTAGTATGGTCTTGGAAAATGAAGCGGCATCATCTCCATCAATCTAAATAGAATAAAAATTGAGAACCAAATTAAATTGAAAACTTACTAAGCTGATTTATCAAAGTAACGGCAGAGTCATGTTTAGAAAAATAAATAAAAGGACAAAATAATAATGCAAAGTTATACCTTCATGCAAATGTTTCAAAACATCTTTATAAACTATGTTTTTTGTATAGCCGTAAGGCATGTCGGAATCATGAGTGATAACAATTTTGAGACCTTTTTTTGAGGTGACTCTAGACACCGCAACATATAGTTGCCCATGAGAAAAAACAGGTTGGGATAGATACAAACCGACAATTTTCAAGGATTGTCCTTGACTTTTGTTGATTGTCATCGCATAACAAATTTTTAGAGGGAACTGTCGCCTTCGCAAGATAAAGGGAAATTTGTGCTGAGATGATTCAGTAATTATCCTGGGGATAAAAACTTTTTCACCAATGTTGCTTCCTGTAATGATTTTTGCTTGTATAATTCTGTCGTTTAATTGGATCACAACCAATCGTGTTCCGTTACACAACCCAACACTTTGGTTTAAATTCCTGATCAACATCACTGGGGTGCCAACTTTCAAAACCAACTTGTGATGCGGCAAACCAGGTAAATCAAGTTGGTTTAGAAATTCTGTTGGATAAAGCACGTCTAAATTCTCTAAATTTTCTGTTGAAGAAGACACTGAATCAAAACTGAGATAGGTACGACTTTCACCGGGTACCATACCCAACAGAAAATCATTTATTCCAGCAGCTGTATCATTACGTGGTGTCACAATAGCTCTCTCTTTCAAATACGGGACATCTTGAAAATTTGTCATGAAATCCGTATACACAGCTGAAACCATGGCTTTGATGGGATCTTCATCAAAACGAATAAGGAATTGTTCGGGTATCTGAACCCAACAGCTTTCTTCATCAGTTGAAGATAAAGATTCGACAACAGTACCATTGCCAATGTCTAATATCCACTTTGCAAAATGAGCAAGTTCTTGTTTTTCCCTTTCGTCCAAACCTGTCTTTGAAAGTCTCATATTTTGCTTCAAAAAGAATATAGTTAAATAGGGCCAAAGATATGAACTTGTCAATGAAGCTTCAACAATGTCAGCGACGCTTCCGTTTGGGACAACAGGAAGAATTTGCCTGAAATCACCTCCAAAAAGAATCGGCTTACCCCCAAATGGCAAATGGTCGAAACCTGGTCTTGACCCTTTAAGAACATCACGAAGAGATCTATCAAGAGTTTCAAAACATTGTTTATGATTCATGGGGGCTTCGTCCCAAAGAATAAGAACAGCTTCAATGATTAGTTTTGCAAGATGAGTCCCTTTTTTTATTTCACAAACTGAACAATCTGTGATGTTGATGGGAATTTTAAATCTAGAGTGAGCCGTTCTTCCACCAGGTAGCAAGAGGGAGGCAATTCCAGATGAAGCCACCGCCAAAACAATCTGATTTTGGGATCTTATTTTAGCAATGATGGTTGTCCACAAAAAAGTTTTACCTGTGCCACCATGACCATGCACAAAAAATAGGCCGGATCTATTGTTGTCAATTGTTTCCATGACACTGTTATAAACATATTGTTGCTCTGTATTTAACTGGCTGATTAAGAGCGAGTGCTCATGTTTCATCTTGTCCACATCATAATCTAACTCTTCTCTCAAACTGCGATTTGCAAGCCTATCCATCATCAAATTGCTTGGTTGCGGTAAGTGATGCTTCAACAAAGAACTATTTGCAGCAACAAACAGTTTTTCTAACTCGTACAAAAGTAAATTTCTAACTTCATCTTGGTATTTAGAAACATTTTGCAAGCCAAAAGCATTCATCATATTTTTCACAATGTCATCACACATCGTCTTCCAATGCGTTTCAAACAAAGCTGATGGATCAGCAACATCACAAAAGAGAACCAATGTGACAAACAATTGCCTAAGTTGAGAGGATGATGCAGTGAGAACAGCTTCTAACATAGCGTTATTCCATTCCCTATCATCACCTAATAAACCAAGAGAGGTGCATGCAGCTTGAAATGTGGGTTGAAGAACAGCATTGACGGTCCTCAGATGGTCAAATCCAAAGCTGCCTTTTTGGTAATTTAGCAACAATCTCAGGTAATATAATTCACCGGCAGCAGGGTGAACATATGCAACCCTACCTAAAGATCTGCCTTTTTTTCTACGGGACCACTGTTTCTCATCATTTTTCCATACATACTTTGTAGGAAATTCAACGTAAGATAACTCACGTGCATCAGGGTCTTCAACATTGGTTTGAAACCATTGTGTTAACATTGTGCTTTCAAGATTAGGGTTGTTAACAACATGGTTGAGATCATCAGTCTCTTTGAAAACCACATTTTGGTCAGATGGAAGGTGCACAGACAATCTCTGAACCGATGGTTCTCTAAAATGAATGTGAAACTGTAACAATCTCCAAACTGCTTCGTAAGGGCATAAGTATCTACAGTTTAGATAAGCCACAATCTCATCAAACTCTTCATCCTCGAAAACAGCTCTAGCTCGATCAGCACCTTTAGTTATGTACTTAAAAAGATATTTAATAAGCATCGATTGACAACATGATTCAACATTTATATGTGCTTGATACTTCAATAATAGCTCACGGTTGTAAGGGACGACAAATGCATTATCAAGCTTGATTCCATTTTTTTGAACAAAAAGATTTTCTATATCTCGACGCTTATACTTAACAAAACCCTCGTCAGAAAAAGTGGTTTCACTTGTGAAAGATTTAGGAAATTTTTTTTGAACACTTGTTTTCTTTCATGCAAGGTGAAAATTTATTTGCAGCACCACATGGACCGTGTATGTATCATGTATTGTGAAACTGCATCATACCCAGCCTTGTCACATCTTTGATCAGGAATCTCAGCCGAAATTATAGAATCAACATCATAAGGAGAATGACACTTATAATGCTTTTTGACCCAAAGTAAGATATGACAATGAGGAAGACCTCTTTTCTGGAACTCCACTGTGTAAAGGACTGTTAATCAAAAATAGAATGTAGATACATCAAAATTATAGACTTTTTAGATTTGTATCAAAAAGACAAAAAGAAATAAAGGGAAAATTTTGGCCAAGAAAAATATACTGACCAGATTCGACGTCGCCAAAAGGTTTTCCTGATTTGAGGTATTTAATCATATGGTCAAGTTTTGCCTTAAAAATTCTAGAAATTAGATCTGGTCTATCTTCAGCTTTACAACCAGGTTTATCACGCAGATCTTCAATAATTTCAGGCCATTTAGCATTACAGGTAAAAGTGATAAATAAATCAGGATTTCCAAACTGACGACATATAGCCATGGCATCCTGATAATTATTTATCATATATCTAGCACTACCTGTAAACGAAGTTGGCAGAATAACCCTCTTGCCAACAGCAGAACCAGCTGCATTTCCTGCTTTAAGTGCTTCATGAATTCCTTTAAGACATTCTGTTCTCAAAGAATCTTGATTTGCTCTAATGAAATCTAACCTGTCTTCTTCAAGTGTCGCATATGCATCAACCAAGTATTGTTGAAACAATCTCCCACCTTTTAACAGGGTGTGTGTCAGTATGGCCTGGTCTATCCTGAATTTGATAACCAAAAAATGCTCTCATGGATACCCCGCTGCCATCCTTTGGTTTTCTCCCCCTAAAATTGGGATTCCAAGGGAGACCTTTCCTATAACCATCTTCACCGTATGGGAGAAGAAGAGGATATTGAAGTGCCATGTACTTAGGATGTAACTTTGTGATTCTCTGCAGGCCATCAGTCTTATGCTCCACAACAATATCTCTTTCGGTGTGAAATTGGCCGATATCCCCAACTATCAACCCACCAATCCCGTCACATGTCGGCAAATTGTACTGCACATCACGATTGCTCTGTGCACCATATAAACGCAGCCTTAAATTACTTATGGACCCTTCATTAATCCTATCCCTGGCGAGCCTAAAAAGCTTAACAACTTCATTACACTCATCCAGCATTTTGATGAGGTCACCAACAATCTGTTGATCAAGTTTTTCAGACGGTTCTGATCCATTGAAACAATTGATACGATTATTGACTTCATTTTGAGTGTCATAAATATACACAGTTGTGCAAACTTAGGATCGCTGCCTTCTGGAGGCAACAGAGAACCCATCAAATGATGTACCTGACCGTTAATCTTAAAAACATATGGACCCCGACGCTTGTTGATAGACGGATCAACTTTGGCCCCCATTGAAGTTAATGCCATTATTGAATTATATGATCTAATATTTGTTTTAAACTTCAAAAAGGCTTGAGAATTCATGGGGTTTAACAAATGTTCCAAATAAGCAGGAGTGGGTTTAGCACGTGCAAAGTGTACTTTGTTGCTCATGCAACACGCAGTAAATTGCGGGGTTGAAACAGAGGAAGTATGCTTAGCATGCTTCTTTGTTTGCTCTGCAGGCCAAAACAGAGCATTGCAGTATTGACATTGGCAATCTCTTAATCCAAAATCAACATATTCTGGATCAATTCCTATAGAAAACAAAGATTAATAGAAGCATAAATGAAACCAATGAATAGAAGTTGATCATAGAAGAAATGTTAAATTTTCAAACCAGCAAGAGAATGCAAAGAAAGTCACATTGGAAGATTGCATACTTTTTCTTTTTTTCTGATAAGCTGCTTGTCCAGTGATGAGCGAATTTGCAACAGAATTAACACTTTGAGTATCTCTGGCTAATAGATAGTGTAGAGTAGTAGCACGATCAGCAAGACAAACAGGTACAGAAATTGTTTGAGAACTTGTCCCAGCTTCCAAAGGTGAGGCAGAATCATCATTGGAGGGAAAATTTTCGTTCAAAATTTGATGCAAATGTGTGGGAAGGGTTGCTTCCACTGTTTAAAAATAGCAAAGAGCTTGAAGCATTGCTGTATTCATTGTTATAAATGGTGGGAACATCTTGTAACACCAAAACTATTCAGATCAACGACTGCAACAGATGCAGGCAAATCGGCATGTTTAGTTCCAGTGGCATTGCTAGCTACCCCTATTCTTCCAGACATAAATCTACACAGACGGAAAAAACCACACGGTAGTGGTTTATTTTCTAATTAAAGCAATGCCACGATGAAGTAACCATGTTAACCACATGGAATGACCAGTGAACCACAACCCATTAAACCAGGAGGTTTTCAAAATCCTGACCACGTTGTAAACATAATAGTAAAAACATAATCCTAGCCCTTTTACCAAAAAAAAAAAAAGGAAGAATACAAAAAGTTGATCTGCAGCTGTTTCCTTAGAGAAAGATGTTTCATAGTGGAATACGGAAAAGGAACAAATAAAACGAATTCTGACAACAAAAAAAAGTGCGCTAAAGGTAAATAGCAAAAGATGAAACAACAACGCTACCATGATTCAAAAAAGACATGCATTGACAATCAAGCGTGTAAACCAAGAAAAGAGTGGATTAAAAAAAAAGGCGATGGTTTTTTAAAGGGCCAAAAATCTAACCTTTGTAGATGTGGAAGCCCAGCTGCTACAAATGTTAATGAAGAACAATGTAGGACCCCCAATGATCAAAACAGAACCTGGACAAAGAGGAAGACATTATATAAACACATATATAATTGGAGGGAAATAGAAAAGCAAACAAACATTAAACAAAAAAGGGCAAGTCACAATTCCAATTCTATGCCATTAGTTCTGTAGGACATGCATGCATAAATTTGAAAGAAAGAAACAAATTATTTAGGCTCTATTCATTCTAGAACGGTAAACGGTGCGAGACGATAAGTGCACAGTTAACAATCTAACCCGTTTATTTAAAACAACAAATCATTTTTAGCAGTCAAAAATGGAGTTGGGCTTTGCGCACTTAATCAACAACAAACATAGAAAGTAGTTCTAATCCATTATGTAGGACATGCACCAAACATTTTTCGAGTAGAAAAAAAGATGTATTGCCTAAAACCAAGATGATTAGGGTTTGAAACATTGAAATTTTTTCCCTTCGTTAACCAATGAAATGCACCAAGATAAACGAATCATGTAGAATCAAACCCGATCTAGGAAAAAGAAGCATATAAGACAAAAAAATAACAACAATGCAAAACAGTTTTCATTCATCCAATAAAAGGCTAAGAGGATTAAACAAATCATCAAAGATTGCAACAATCAGAAAGTCGGAACTTGAAAGTTTGCATTTGCTATGTCTGATCCCATAGACGTTGGAAAAAATGTTCATTACATATATTCAAGAAAAGGTAGAAACGAATGATGCAATTCCATCACTTGCGATAGCATACATCAGGCTGGAATCTAAGCCTGAAAATAATATCTATCCATCGCATATCATCCATAGAATTGTCAAGTTCCATTTCAATTTTCATCATTATAAAAATAAATATTTACTATGGTTATTATATTATTCATTTTTTAACTAAAAAAAGATTATTTTTCCAAACCAACAAAAACAAAAAGTAATCATATAAAGTTATATGATTAGTAACAATAATGCCATTAAGGAGGCGTTGCAAGAAAAGTATTTTAAACACATAAATTTGATGGAACGATTATATACTGCCACGATGAATGAGTTAGAGTGAGATCAAGGTAAAACATAATCGTTGTATATATGTGTTAGAAACTCTTTAAATTTTTAGCTTGCCATTTTTTTCTTTCATTAAAAGTAGATATGCCCCATAAGCTCAATTATAGGTAGACAAAATCTAATTAGTTACACGATGCAGTTTTTATATACTTATATGAAGACAAATGGACCGAGTATGTGTAAACAAATTGTTAGTAAAAGAATTAAGCAAACCTAACCAACAACTACCATGCAAATTGTATAAGTGACATATAACTTTGTTTTGGTTTAATAGAAGCACCAGAGTAGTTTTTTATATGCAATATGAGAAAGAATTCATTACGGCACAAAAACTCATGGATTAAAGCAAAGCCAAAAAAAGTCAAAGGCACACAATCGATGGTCTTCATCATCGTGGGGTAAAACTCTAGCTAAAGAACTTGGTGCATCTACTTGGGAGATACTCAAGGCAGCAGAAGATACTGCTCCAGCATGGTGAACAAATACTGCCACAGAAGATGCTACATCTATCTAGGGCAAAAGTGAAGAATCCATGACATTTCCCCAAGGGGCAAATAAGGGAAGTGAAGATGACACACCATCTTGGGGGAAAACTGCAGCTAAAGAAACATCCACATCCACTTGGGGGAGAGATAAGACAGCAGAAGATATTGCTCCTGCTTGGCGGAAATACAAACAAAACATGGAGAGAGTTTTCGGAGTTTATAATCTAAAGAGACATAACACCACATGAGGACCTTGACAACACTTGAAAGTGCATCCCAAGTGCGAAGGCTGTTAGCCATCTCTATCTCACCGGCAATTCTTGCAGGGCACAATGTTGCCGTTGTAATCATGCCTCACTCTTTCTTTGCTTCCGTAGTTAGTTTCCTAACCTTTGTTTTCCGGCATTGTGCTTCCCGCACAGAAACAGCGAGGAGACAATCGTTACGGTTTTCCAAAGGCATGGATACAATCAAGAAACCATTAGTATTCATCCCACCATGTACCCAAACTTCACCCATTCTTGAACCCACCCTCTACAAACCGCACTTAGCCCTTTTATTTTAAATTCTTGGATTTGTTGCACGATATGAATGTCTTCCATATTCTAGTAGTGATATATCAATCGAAAATAAGAATGTAAAACTCATGCACACCTCGTCTTTCCCGACCAAAAAACCAACCTAAAAACCACATTAACCACCACAATTTTTTAGAGTCCAGTCATTGCTCAAAACAAATAACTTGCACAACATAATCATCCATACAAATAGAATTTAACCAACCAAAATTTTTTGAGTTACAAAAGAGAATAGAATCTTTACAAAAATCGACCAAAGCTGCAATTGGAAAACCAATCTGCTGAATTTTAGCAATCTTGCATATACATTGGCTTTGTTCAGCATCAGACCAAATAAGCAAAGAAATTATTCATTCATGAGAACAGGCAACCGCATAAAACTATAAGCAGAGAAACATAATACCAAGACCATGAGGTTATCAACAGCAAAAAAAATATCCTTAAATGATACAAAGTTGTATCAAAAAGGTGTAAAAAAAGAGTATTAACAACACTTCATAGTTAAGATGCTAAAAGGGTCACGAAAAAACATTAAAGTGCGATACAAAAGTGTACCAAAAAGTTCAAAAAAGAGTATCAACAACATTTTATGCTTACAATGGTTAAAGGGTTAATTGTTTACATTATTGCCCTTATCACCAAACAAAAAAAATTTACACTACCCTTATCTTATCCATGACCCACGTCGTCTCAAGACATTTAGAACCCAAAAGGTTGTTGCAGCAGAGGCAAGCAAGAACAACAAAACTCCAACCTTTTTCGAACGATCAAACTTGAACATTCCACGAAAAAACCCCAAAAATCGTTGCAAAACATTATCATTCATCGGAACTTTTTCTTTCGGCGGATTAGTACGATTTGCAGGTCGATACATAGTATGGACCACCAACTTGTTCCGATTCGGACCTTTACCATAAACACGCAAACCCATCCTTGTTTTTTCTATTTTCACTGCTCTCTTGTACCAGATCCCGGGGGAGCATCGAAATATCTCACTAATGTCCCTCGATTTTTTTCTTCGTTTCGTGCCTTAACCAGTTCCCTTAAATTTTTGACCAAAAACTCCTCCTAGAATTTGTTGTTCTCTTCGATCAATCTCATTCATCATTTTTATTTACCCTGAATCAGAAATTAAATACAACATTAATATTGATGGTTTTTCAAAATATATATTTAACTTTCCAGATTTAAGAATGACACTGTGATAAATCTTTAAAACTCAAATTAATAAAGTAAATGCATAAGAGCTCCCAAAAGTTAGATAATTATTAAAGAAAACACAACCAAAAAGTATTTTGACAGTGTTGTAAATCAAATTTTGAAGTGATAGCTGATAAAGAAGCTACAAAACCTAATTATTCATGAGTTAATGCGCTTTGAATGTAAATGCTCACGAATTTTTCTGAACATCTAAGATGTATTCATGAGTTGTTAAAAGGCAACTCATTTTCTAAAACGCTGGTTTTTTTTTTTTTTTAAAAATTCTGATTTGTTGAGAAAGTGCAGTTATGAACAGCATATGTTAAAACAATTCGGGAACGATGAGATAGTTAACTATCGGAAAAACCTAATTAAAACACCAACCAACCAATAACAAAATCACAGAGATAAAATGGCTAACAACATTCGATAAAAAAAAGCTACAACGCTGGCCTAAAACCAGAATAAGAGAGTTAGCAAGGGACCTTCAACTCTAACAGGATCACACAAACAAAGTTCAAAGAAAAAAAAACAAACAAACCATCCAACCATTGGACAATTAGATCCCAAACTAACCACACAAAGAGGACAAAAAACCGAAACATGGAGACATGAACACAAAAACCTGTAATTAGATCCGAATCACAAAATGCCAAAACAAAATTCGTAATCTAACCATCCCTATACTAACAGCCCATCCAAGCAAATACAAATCTAATAGGGTTTAGAACAAATAAACCAATCATCCATTTTGAATGTTGTTTGGAACAAATACACCGACCACTCAGTTTTCTCAAGCTTTACATAAATAGACAGATACAGATACGTGTACAAAATAGAAAGAAGCCCAGTTCCACTCTAAAACTTAAACCACCAAATAAATACTCAGTTATTCAACATTTGCATAAATCAACAGATAACAGATACACACATAAAAAAGAAAAAAACTCAGTTCCAATAAAAGCTAAAATAACAAAAGTTAATCATATATTTAAAATCCAAATATGAATGCTTCACGAATATAAATAAAAAAAAAGGTAGATAACTAATCAGGCTTTGAAAAAAAAATGATGGCACATAATTATATACCTCAAAACATCAAGGAACCAACTTCTTCCTCCAACGATCGAAATTTCTGAAATTTGCAAAAAGTAAATCCATTAGCAACCCTAAGACTTTCAAATTTAAAGATGAAATCTAATGAAATTTTAGCTAAATGAGCAAAGACACACCAAAAAACCAAAAAGCCCAAAAAAAAAAAAAGCAAAACAAAACAAAAAAAAATTTAGGAATATTTTGAATCTAACACAATAATTTGGTTCAGCGAAGAATACAAAAGTTGTAGACCTAGGTGAAATGTTGAGTAAATTCCAAGGGCTCTATACCAAGGCCATAATGGAACAGTAATGTCATGGAATCTACAATTAGTTCAATACAATCGGATATAAAAGCAAATTAAATTTGTTCAATCTTATAATAAAGAACTAAGTGCATGAATAACTTTTGTGGCTCAATGGCTTGAGAAGCAAATAACCAACTTTATATATCACAGCTTAAATTTCTCCTATTGCTGAAATCGAAGCTGACCAACTCACCGAATACATATATGAATTAATACCTAATGGTTCCCTCGAAAACAAATCTTTAAATATTTTTTTAAACTAATAGAGATCAATGTCATCTAAAACATTGGAAACACCATCATACAACACTGTAGTTCAATCTCTATTATTAAGGGTCATAAAAAATTAAAGCAATAAGTATAGCAGACTCAAAACAGATACCCTCTCTTGGAAAAACAGAGAACCACAGCGGGATGCTCAACTATCCAATTTATACCAGATGCAACATTTCACATTCGTTCAGTCCCCAACCACAGGGTTGATTCCATTTCAACCCTCTCATTCATACTATGTGTTTACATCTCCATTACACATTCAGATATCAAGACAATATATACAATTCATAAATTTGGTTATGCAGTTAATAAATAAAAATCTCACTGAACCAACTGCATTCTTCTAAACCAAACCAAAAAATTGTTTTATGATCAATGTCATTAACTTTTTTATCATTACATATCAAGATATGCAAAAACGACCACTGAAACAACCACAAAGATAGAAAGTTCCACAGTAATATCATCTGCAACCAATAAAAAAATTAACCAACTAAATCAAATATAAACCCAAATAAATTCAACCCCACCAACCAAAACAGGAAAAACTCTAAATAGACAACAATCAAACAGAACCAAATGCGGTTTAGTAGCTTGAAACAAAACGAAATGGTGTTTGGCAGCTTAAAAAATTTCGTTTCAAAGCCAACTAAAAAGCAAAAAATGCTACCCAAAATTGGAAAAGAGGTAAAAATATGATTAGCAAAAGATGTTAAACATAAAAAAAAAAACAATTACAATAATTCTCCATTCGTACATTAATACTAATAGATCAAACTCCAAATGATTTGCATAAAAATCTCATTTCCTTGTAACTCGTTGTTCAGTTATGTGTTGAACACAAACACCAAGATATCAACAAAACGTCTTGATTCACTGAAAACCTATAGAAGAGGTATGGAAATTTGGAAGATTTTAGAGATTGCTAGGTTTGTTAAGGAAAGGTCTACCTGATTTGATGGTATTAGAAGGGAGGTGAGAAAAATTATTCAAGACCTAAATTGTAACATCTATAGGGTAACGTGCACCTAACAGAATTAACCGTGTGAATACACAGTATCAGAGCGATTCACCCATACAGGTACAACCCAAAGTAGGTGGTTACTGGTGAATGTGTGCGTGTGTGTGCGTCTGTGTTTTGTATCCATTAGTTCATTATATATCAATATAGCACACTCCAATTCAACCTATCCAATTCAAAGCAGCACATCTCTAATTCAAACATATGCAATTAAAATTAGCACACATCCAAATTCCAATTCAACAAACCACATTTTCAAATCAATTTAAACTAAATACCCAATACTCAATCACATATCCAATTCAAACTACATGGCTAATATTCAATAACATGTCCAATCTTTAAGCACATTTACAAAATAGATTTAAAACAGTATAAAGTCTACTTAGCAACAAAACATAAACATCAAAATCCAACACAAAGACAAAAAAATTAGAAGTTAGAAGATGTTCTAGCACCAGAGACTATTAGAAGTTGGAAAGATATGCTGATACAGCGGTTCGAGAACAGTTTGGGAAACTTTGGGCAGAAAATATGCTTGCAAGGAAAACGAACAATGGGTGAGCATCACTCTCAAAGCTGGTTTATGTTTAAATCAGTGAATTACCATAATCTTTACTGGTCAGTTTTCACTTTTGGCCTACTTCAGTGTGTAAATGCTGAATGTATTACTCCTTTTGCTTGATCCTAGGCAACTGTTACACCCTTACTACATTGTGACCTTTCTGATTTTTGAAGAACGAAGACTCTCAAAATTTATAGAAATACAAAAATGAGAAAATGATAAATCTTTCTCAACCAATATACTAAAAATGTTGACCACCAGTATATAATAAAAAAAACAAAATGCTAACTTCATCACATAGCACAAACTTTAAACGCATCACCTTCTGAAATTAAATTAAGAATTCATACGACATTCATTGAGAAACCGAGACAAACTGAAGTTGTATGTTGTAAAATGCAACCACTTTTAGAATCCCTAAGTCACATCAGTTAGCAAGAAACCCATTCTAACTCGAGTTGTACAGTGTAATAATGCAACCACAAAAAGACCAAACTTCTGCTGCTAAAAAGCTTTTACAAAATAATAAAACCCTTAACAGTTTGAACCCTACCAGAAAGTTTATATGAGTTGAAGAACAGCTGCACTTAAGTGCAGCAAGATCATAACCTCTTACAGCTTCTCCTCCGCGTCAGAACCACCTGCAGACCAAATTAAGAAAGATTCAATGGCAAATCAAGAACAAATCAGTAATAATTTAAATTAAAATCGCTAATTATTGTTACAGAGAGAATTCATATCAAGATTAACTACATTATTTAATTCGAATGGAATCAAAAAGCAGCATAAATATGAAGGGTAAATAAATTAATAGCAAAAGTCACATTTCAGCAGCAATTAATAGCAGAAATCAGAGTTGAGTATCAGGGACCAAAACAATTTCAGTAAAAAGATCAGAATCCCAACAAAGGTAAGTAAATTTATGAAACCTATAAGATTTTGAAGTGAGGAAAAATGTCGTAAAACCGAAAGAAAAAAACATGAAATTATCCTATGTTACCAATATTGATGAACCCATCACAGGTGAACAATGAAGCAAATAAAGCTTGAAAAAATAAACGAAGCAATCAGTACGGGAAAATTTGATAGGTTTCAACACCATTCCTCCAAAGCCTCAGTAGTGGTGGTTTCACTTAGCACGCCAACAAAATTTCAAACAGCATTCTTGTTCTAATACCAGATCAAACACACAATTATTCACAAAAAATATGTAACTTATTTAATAAGGTATACAAAGGAACTCATCACAGGTCAAGTACTTTTACAAACTTTGAAAAATATGAATCCCGAGTATAAATCATGTCAAAAATATCAAAACATTTACGAAATTTTTATCTTTCCATTCCACAGACAGACCAATTTCAGGACAGAATAAAAGATAGACCTCCTCAAGCAGCACATCTCTAATTCAAACATATGCAATTAAAATTAGCACACATCCAAATTCCAATTCAACAAACCACATTTTCAAATCAATTTAAACTAAATACCCAATACTCAATCACATATCCAATTCAAACTACATGGCTAATATTCAATAACATGTCCAATCTTTAAGCACATTTACAAAATAGATTTAAAACAGTATAAAGTCTACTTAGCAGCAAAACATAAACATCAAAATCCAACACAAAGACAAAAAATTAGAAGTTAGAAGATGTTCTAGCACCAGAGACTATTAGAAGTTGGAAAGATATGCTGATACAGCGGTTCGAGAACAGTTTGGGAAACTTTGGGCAGAAAATATGCTTGCAAGGAAAACGAACAATGGGTGAGCATCACTCTCAAAGCTGGTTTATGTTTAAATCAGTGAATTACCATAATCTTTACTGGTCAGTTTTCACTTTTGGCCTACTTCAGTGTGTAAATGCTGAATGTATTACTCCTTTTGCTTGATCCTAGGCAACTGTTACACCCTTACTACATTGTGACCTTTCTAATTTTTGAAGAACGAAGACTCTCAAAATTTATAGAAATACAAAAATGAGAAAATGATAAATCTTTCTCAACCAATATACTAAAAATGTTGACCACCAGTATATAATAAAAAAACAAAAAAATGCTAACTTCATCACATAGCACAAACTTTAAACGCATCACCTTCTGAAATTAAATTAAGAATTCATACGACATTCATTGAGAAACCGAGACAAATTGAAGTTGTATGTTGTAAAATGCAACCACTTTTAGAATCCCTAAGTCACATCAGTTAGCAAGAAACCCATTCTAACTCGAGTTGTACAGTGTAATAATGCAACCACAAAAAGACCAAACTTCTGCTGCTAAAAAGCTTTTACAAAATAATAAAACCCTTAACAGTTTGAACCCTACCAAAGAGTTTATATGAGTTGAAGAACAGCTGCACTTAAGTGCAGCAAGATCATAACCTCTTACAGCTTCTCCTCCGCGTCAGAACCACCTGCAGACCAAATTAAGAAAGATTCAATGGCAAATCAAGAACAAATCAGTAATAATTTAAATTAAAATCGCTAATTATTGTTACAGAGAGAATTCATATCAAGATTAACTACATTATTTAATTCGAATGGAATCAAAAAGCAGCATAAATATGAAGGGTAAATAAATTAATAGCAAAAGTCACATTTCAGCAGCAATTAATAGCAGAAATCAGAGTTGAGTATCAGGGACCAAAACAATTTCAGTAAAAAGATCAGAATCCCAACAAAGGTAAGTAAATTTATGAAACCTATAAGATTTTGAAGTGAGGAAAAATGTCGTAAAACCGAAAGAAAAAAACATGAAATTATCCTATGTTACCAATATTGATGAACCCATCACAGGTGAACAATGAAGCAAATAAAGCTTAAAAAAATAAACGAAGCAATCAGTACGGGAAAATTTGATAGGTTTCAACACCATTCCTCCAAAGCCTCAATAGTGGTGGTTTCACTTAGCACGCCAACAAAATTTCAAACAGCATTCTTGTTCTAATACCAGATCAAACACACAATTATTCACGAAAAATATGTAACTTATTTAATAAGGTATACAAAGGAACTCATCACAGGTCAAGTACTTTTACAAACTTTGAAAAATATGAATCCCAAGTATAAATCATGTCAAAAATATCAAAACATTTACGAAATTTTTATCTTTCCATTCCACAGACAGACCAATTTCAGGACAGAATAAAAGATAGAGCTCCTCAAGCACACAACAAACCAGTACAGATAAACACTGAACAATAGTTTAGAGCCCAGCCTCTGCCTTTAACAGTTTGTCAATTTCTAACTAAATCAAAACTCATCATACTCTCATTTACCTTTTCAGGATGCTCAAAATGCTATCAATGACTTAACTGGTAAGGATGATGTTTTTCTTATCCAAACTTTGTTTTTCGACAGCTTCTCAAAAACGAAATCATTACCAAGATTGAGTTTAATTAGTTTTCTCATCATATCCAAATTTTATGCAGTTTATATAATATCCAGAAATAATTCATAACAAAAGGCCATAAATGACAACAATACATGCTAACAATAGAGAAGCGAAAAAAAAAAAAAAACTTAGCTCAAAAACACATACCCTTCAAGGATCGGAGCCTCAGAAAAATTTATGAAGTTCTCGCAAATATTTTTAGGTCTCAATGCACCTACACTGCAAACCAACGAAAATGCAAATGCATTAATACAATAGCCAATACCAATTTCTAAGATTTTAGCATTCTCTTTACCCTTGCAACCAAAAACCACAAATCCCAGAAAAATGAGCAAGAAGCTTAAGCAGAAAAAAAATCATATTTTAAACCACCAAAACCCAATACCCATTTAACCTGAGATTTGAGTGTTCTCTTTAACCTTGCAACCGAAAACCAAAAATCCCAGGAAAATGAGCAAGAAGCTTAAGCAGAAAAAAAAAACATATTTTCAACCACCAAAACCCAATATCCATTCAGTCATTCACGAACGAAAAATCTAAATACAGAGTGAAAGATGAACAAACTGAAAACCCCCCAAAAAAAAGCCACAAAAAAGAAGAAGAAAACTGACCTTAAAACAGAACGCAATGCACAGAACAGAGAGATGCATCCCCAAAATGAAAGAAAATGAGAGAAAACGAAACAAAGGAACCCCCAAAACCTAACCCAACAGTTCACATCTATGCTAACAGCAAATAATGGAATAAAAAATGGAACTTAGCTTTCGAAATCCAGCCATTGATCCGACATGCAAAAGGGAACGAACGATCCAGAGTGATTCATGAACTGAGGGGACCTTACTCGGCTCTGTTCACCATCCAACCCCTCCCTCTCTCTTTCTCTCACTGTCTCCATTCCACTCACCCATGCCAGGATCCCTCTCCCTCTCTCTCTCGCTCTGTTTCTCTCTCTCCCTCTCTATCGGAGGCATGGCCTCCCATCCCCGAAACCCTCCCTGAATGACAGCAAAGTAAACCCACCCAATCCGTCTCAAACAAATAGGACAAAAGTGCCCTTCCAACCAGCCCCAATATCAGACCAAACCTGACGGGCTTGTTGTAAATAGCGTGAAATCGAGTGGCTCCCTGATAAGCCACATGGACAAAATTACCCTCTGAAATTTTGAGAATTACCCTCCCAACCCACTCCCCATCAGGCTGGTATTGTTGTAAATAAAGCAAAATCAAAACAAACGTGAATAGTGCCTGCCCTCCCCCCTACTTTAGTATAGATAATGTATGTTAAACGCATGTAACTACACAATATGATATGATAAAGATTATAATATCATATAAAAGATCATGACATGAAGGATCCCTATCAAATAGCTAGATCCGGACCTTAGTCCGTTGATCCCAATTTTCGTCAGTGGTGTTAAAGGGCCCACATATGAATATAGAGGTTCGTATTCATACAATTTGAAGCATGCGTCAAAACTCAAATGGGAATATGAATATCTCGAACTCGATGGATACAGTTCACCTGGAGTATTTTTTCTCAACGTTGATGACAAAATTATTATGTCCCTTATTTTAGGAATGAAATTGTACATCTTAGATGATAAGTTATTAGATTGAATCAGAACCCAGAATTTGTTGATTCTAAATAATTGAACCAAAATTTGGTGTAGTTTTACCAAAGTCTTGGTTAAAGACAAATGAAAACTTGTTGAGACAAATTGATATTTCTCCCATGAATTTTGAATTTGGTGGATATCACCCACCTTGAGTTTTCAAACTTGTTCTCTAATACAGATGAAAGCCATTTTGTTCCATTCTTAGTGTTTGAGATTTATCTCCCAACTTGATCTTACAAACAATAAACAGTTGAGTTATCTCTCAATAGCTTGGCTTTTCATTTCATTTAATTTATTTTTCTTCACTTTTATTATGTTGATTCAATTTTGTTTATTTCATTTTCGTATATTATTCTGAATTTGTTAGTTAAAATTTTTATTTATTTGAGAAGCTCCTACTTTCTTTAATGAGTTGTATCGCACAATTATAGTAGTAGTGTATGCTTATATTGTCATAAACCAGAAGTTCATTGACCAAATCATGGCATAATTATCTTGGCCATTCAATATCCACAATGATGTGTAGGATTATTACAAATATGTATGGACATATTTTGACGCCTCAACATAGTGCAATGTCCATGTCCTTGTAAGGATTGCTCACATAGAAATTTGGTCCTTTGACCATCTAAAATTGACTTTAGATCCTGTATTTTGTCTTGAGAATGCAACATCTTATTGTGGATTATTTGATTAGTGACCTAGGTGTATCTACAAGACGATCATTTTATTATTCGCCTACTATGACAAGCGCCATTTCCCAAATTTTTTATGCTATTTCATGCCACTTGGGATTAATTTTGAGCACACAACTTCTTATGGCTTACCACAAGCTTTACGCATTTTATGCATTGCTAGTTGAAGCTTGGAAGATGCATCTTGATCACATGCATCATAATGATCAGTTCGGTTGAGGTATATTTTCCAACCAATAAGTAATTGTGTACAACGATGTTTTTCATCCACTAAAATTAGGATTCAAGTCAATTTGTTTTAAGTTGTGCTCATAGTTACTGCAGTTTTGCAGGTTGTCACTTTGATCAAACAACATTCCCGACTTTAAGGGAGAAAGACAATTTTCAAAGAATGTCGAGAATTAGCATTGATACATTTGCATTTATCTCATCCAAGCAATATAAAGTCACAAGTGACATTAATTAATTTGTTGCATGCCTAAAGCATGACATATATATATATATATATATATATATATATATATATATATATATATATATAGTTTATAAACTTTGAACTCTTCTTAAGTAGAGATTAGTAAAGTTCAAGCCCTAATTGAAAATAACGCTCCATAAGAGGTTATAGTCCAATTCTCTAAGTAATTCATCTTCATATGTTTGTTCTAGATTTGACAATGGAAGCCTTGAAGAGGCATTGTTGACACACCCCGATCCGGAATGTCCACTAGGACTCCGAATCGAGCTGTGCTGGCCACCATCTGGAAGGTGACGAAGCCATAAAGTGATGATAAGGAAAGATGCAAATAAATTCAAACCTAAAGGTGCCTAAATAACCGAGTGCATTGTGCGTGGGTATGAACCCAAATCACACGTAATGTCAGAGCACAGTCAAGTACAGCAATGTAGGTAGAAACCATACCCACAAAAATAGCCACCTTAACAGGGACATGCCACGAATCCTCGTCGATAAGGAACTTTGCTACTAGAACCTGGAAGGGCGCAAAACAGAAAACGTGAGTGGGCGAAAATAAAGCTTTTCAAGAATATCTCATTTATCAACATTCATAACCCCTCGCTAAAAAACCTGTATACTTTCCCAGAAAATAATTTATATAACCATATATATCAGCAAATATCTCAAATCACAATCCTTTAACACTTTTCAGAAAATATGCCATGCAATGCATCGAAACATAATATGGATGCATCAATATAAATCAGGTGAAATGATAAATCAACCGGAGACCCTGCAGCTGGTCCTGTACTGTTAATTCTATAGCTCAATATCCAATCCAACCGAAGTCACCAACTGTGACCTATACGGCACTACTCTGCAAATAAATCGGAACTACCTGAAGTAGTCTGTACGACAAGAATGGTGTAAGAATATGCTCTAGTGCTTCTCTTATCAACAGCTGTATAATAATCTAAAGTCACCTATAGTCGGAACCACCTCTCATGGTCTGTACGACATGTCGGAACCCTCTATTGGTCTATACGACATGCACCTACTTGGATCCAAGGTGAGCGTATGGTGCGGGGTGAATAATATAAGCACTAACACCAGGGGTGCAGGTTTGAGCTTTCAATACAATTCACATCACAATAAATCACATGATTAACATAAAACTCACCTAATATTCACCTGTGCGTCCACAGCACCAATTCACACACACACACACACACACACATATATATATATATATATATATATATGCATCAATTATCAATTCATATAATGTATGCATGGCATTTTAAAACATACTTTCATTTAAATCCGATTTCTGGGAAAAATCAATAGTATATAGGTATATATAGAAAACAAATGCCCACTCACCTGGGGTCCGCGCTACGACTCCCTAACATCAGAACCAAGGCGTCCTGAACGCTCGGCGACTAAAACAGTTATCAAACCACGTCTCAGAACTCTTATCCATAGAATATGAAATTCACATAACACACATCCACAAGGGTATTCAAGAATAATGCGAGACCCGTTGATCAAAGGTCAACCGTCGACTAAGTTCGACGGTAGGGTTATAACCTCACATAACTCAATCTGAAAGATCCACAACTAAGATTTCTAATCCGTCACTTCCCAAGATATACATTAATCTTCTAGAACAACATACTAAAATTTCGTTATGATCCGACGGTTGGATCTCCGGCAATTTCCAAAACCGAGTGGCGGTTAACCTTTTATTTTATGAACTTACAAATCCAATTCAGGAAGATCCATAGGTCGAATTTCCAATCCGTAAGTTCCTATATTCTTCAAATATTACGTACTACTACGTATCAAAGTTTGGTGACGATCCGACGGTTGGATCGTCGATTCATCTTTTGGCCTAACCATGAATCGTATCGAAATTAAGTCCAAATGATCAACTAACGTTAAGCCACTACCAAAAATGAACTCAGGACATCAAATATAGCTTAAAATAACATTGGTGGCCCACTGGCCACGTGCCACCGCACACGCCGCCGTGGGTGGCGGTCGGCCGCCCCGGCTCGCCGAAAAATCCAACTATTTCCAAAAATTACCAAAATTTACAGAAATGAAGATCTCAATGAGTAGAGAAACTTTCATACCTGTGGCCAAGGCCAATTCGGTCGGCAAGGCCTCCAATTTAAACAAAACCCGTCGGAAACCCTAGATTTTGGGTGTGCTCAATCCGTCCTCAAATCAACTCCGCCGTCCCAACCATTGCTTGGGCTTTGTTTTAGGCCTCAAGAGGATGCCATGGATGGTGAAAATTGAAAGAAATTGCTTTGGGATAGGGTGATTCGAAGCCAAGGCCGCCGCACCCCTTTCTTGCGGTTTTCTCTATTTTTAAAACCAAATCTCTCCAAATTTGAGATGGAATGGATAGAGGAAGGGTTCTAGAGTGTTTCCCATGAGGTTTCTTGAAGCAATTCGCCGGAAAAATGGGTGGAAATCATCGAAATTACACATGGGTGCCGACTGGGTCAAGAACGGGCCAAGGGGATCCGGCCGATCCCCCACGCCACTCTCTCCCTTCTTTCCTCCTTTCCCTTATTCTGATTGGTCAGTCTCTCTCTCTCTCTTCTCCCAATTTGGCCAGCTCCCTCTCATTTCTCTCCCGGAGCTCTTGCATCTTTTCCTCTAGATAGGCAGCTTGCCCAATCTCTTCTTCTTCCTTTTCTTTTTCTTTCTTTCCTTTCCATCCGCACCATCCATTTCTTCTTCTTTAAATCTAGGCCATCCAAATAGCACACCAGATTTTATAAAGGAAGAATCCATATTTTCTGAAAATAATAAAATTGATCAAATTTCAAACTTTAATAACTTCTTCGTTATAGCTCCAAATCACGAACCGCTTGCGCCCACACGTCCGTAGTGACAAGTATTATGAGGATAGGCCAATAAAGAAATTCTTAGGTGACATGACACCGTAAATAATCTCAGTCAACACACGTGTCTCGAAAGGCAATTTCGTAAAATCACTTAATAAAATTATAAAAAAAAATCAATATTTTCCGGGACGGACTGTCACAATCTTCCCCCCTTTAAAAATTTCATCCTCGAAATTTCAAATAACTTGCTAGATGCAAAATACTCAAAAATAAGAAGAGTACCATTATATAAAAATACTTACACAAGGAAGAGATCAAATTAGAGCGGTTGCATAAAAGAGAGTGCCATTCTGTCGTGATTGGATTGCAATTATTCCTCTTTCATGCCTCCAAGCTCATACCTTTTTCCTTCCTCGTCAGTATAGTAATATAACTTCCACAAAATCCGTCAAGTAAGAATACCACTTACCACGTAATGGCTTAAGAAAAGTTTACGGATATAAAAAACAACTATCAATATAGAAGCCTTCAGTTCAAACACTTGCGCCAAACTTAAAACCAAAAGTAGAAATAACTCACTCAACATTTGCAAAATCAGAAATACTCAAATAAATAGAATAGTCTCATAGAAAATGCTTGCA